TTTGTGGGCTTGCTGAATGAAATCGTTTAGAAGTGAGCTGCCACGCCTTAAAACTGGAAGATGTGGGAGAATCCGAACGGGCAGCAGGAAAACTAATACCAGAAACAAAGCACGATTATACGATTTGAAGCACAACATTCTGAGGCAAGTATACAAAACCAACTGAACCAGCTCTGGCTTGGTTCTCGTTTCGTTTACACGGATTTTAATTTTCCAATTGTTGGACATAACAGTAAAAGCGTCAAATGTCGAAGGATTCGTTAGATAATGTCAAATGCTTGAGCAGCTTAAAGCATTTAGCTAGAATTGGCTGTTTGTTATTTTAATCATTCAAGTGCTCGCTGAGGCGTTACTACTTATAGCCATGTACATTTAGTATATTAATTTTACTTATATAATAAATTGTATTAAAAATTTAATGTTCATAGTCAAAGGAAGACAAATACATATATTTATATCTAWATGATTTAAGTAAATCATTTAATGTTTAATTATCCCATTAGATGACAAACATATCCAAGTCGAATGTAGTCCAAGTCCAAATATATTACAAAATCTGCATATTATCATGTATTATTCACTCTGCTTCCACAACGATTGAAAATCTATATTAATGTAAATTAAATGCAAATTTTATATATTGCAAAAAATCTCTTGGATATATGATGATTGAGCTTGATTTTCTTTTGAATTGATGTGAGTCGAACTAGTCAGCATTAATAAAGTAATTTAATACTATACAATATATAGAATTCACATCTATTTTGCATCAAGTAGTGCTGCATGACCTTTTATTCGTGTATAACTAAAGGCAGTCATAAAAGTCTCTTCCTTTGAAAGCGTATAAAAGGCTCACAGCTAAATGAAATAAAATGCAATAACAACTTAACACCTTTCGGGCAGCCAAACAGTGTGGGGGTGTATAAGGAAAGGGTTCCAGGACTGAAAGAAGCATAAAAAGACACAGATAGAGAGAGAGAGAGTGAGAGAGAGAGAGAGAGAGAGAGAGAGAGAGGAGTGAGTGAGAGGGCGCAACTATTTGCCGCACATACAAATGCGCAGGCAATACCAAAAGCAAACCGTAAGCGCAGACTAAGCCGATTATAGCTGGAGCAGAAAGTGAGTGAGAGAGAGAGAGAGAGAGATGGTAGATGGTGGGTCGTAGTTAGAGAGTAGCTGGTCAGAGGATAACTGACTGTCTGGCAGGAAGTGCGTGGCAGGCAGAAAACGCAGAAGCAGCAATGGCAATGAATTATCGCACTAGCTGCGCCCGTAGACGAGACGCAACGTGTTGTAAAAAATGTAGTACTATTAATTTTCCTGCATATCTTACAGTATCTTCATAAACAGACACGCACACGCACACCCACATACACACACAGACAGACAGGCAGGCAGCCAGCCAGCCAGCTAGCCGCCCCCTGAGTGTGCGAGTGTCTCTGCAAATGCTTTGGCATTGGCTTAGTGCTAAGAGATTTCTAATTCAGTTGAGCAGAAATAAATTACTTACCGTAATTGTTTACCATATAAAACTGTAGCCAAGGCGTTGAGCGTAAATCGAGACAGTTGTTTGTCGTTTCTTCTTTGTTGTTCTAGTTGCTGCTGCTGTTGTTGCTATTGTTGTTGTCTGTGGAGTTCTTATAGCTTTTTGAGAAATTCGGGTTTTGCCAGCTGTCACATAGCAAAAAGGATTTCACACATTTTCTCTTGATCCGTCCCCACACAAACTTTAACTGTTAAATTTAAATGTATGTGTTTTTATATGTATATATGTGGGTCTTTTTTATAATAAATTTATATACTTGTTTGCTATTAATTTATCTACTGCACACTTATAGTTGACACGAGCAAATTATTGCCATTTAATTTTGTGCTTTATGTCGGACATAAATAATTGCGCAAAGGCAGGCAAAAATTGTACGTCGATTACAGTTTTTAATTATTTTTTAATGAAGTACAAGCAACAATGAGTAAAAATAAAAATACAAATAATAAATACCAAATGCATTTCATTGTGATGTTTTAACAGCGAACTCCTCGCACTATGCGATTATTTATGCGCATTGCTAGTACAATTTATTGCCTGTGTAATGCACATTTAAGTGCGGCAGCCGTACTCGGATATACATGGCTTAAACTGTCCAATTAGTTAATAAGATACTTAATAAATCGCTCAGCAACTGAAAACGATATTCATTGCATCTGAATGGCAGCAGCAGCAGCAGCAATACAATTAATACAATAGATTCTTATAGAGCAGCACAGATGCATATGCTTTAGCTGCAAATTGCAATTGTACAGTGTGAGATCTGAAGGTATTCGATATTCAAATATTAATCAGTAATTCAATAGCTAGTTTCTGACCACAATTTGCTTTCAGCTTGGCTACGCAGCCCAGGCTTATGCTGCAGTGAAAGCTTGATTCATATTGAGGTGGTTAAAATGAATATGATATATGAATATATGAATGCAGAATATGAATACGAATTGTACGCTTATAAGAGGTAAATAAAATGTATACTTTATTGGGGTTGTTAATGCTAGATCCCATTAACAGGAATCGCTCCGATATGCCATGCAGCATTATGTTAATATGATAATAGCATAATTCCAAGACCAGTTCTACTACTGGCTTTCGATACTTAGCGTACCGCTGAGTACTTCGTACCTCACCCCCTTTCCTCACCCAGTATTGACACTCTATGTCATACGAATATAAGAAAAACGCAATTATCTTCCTACAAATAAAGACGAGGAACTTACAAGCGGCTCTTGTTATTTATCGTCGACGCCACCAGTTCAACTGGGATCAACAGAGGAGTGGATCTTGCCATCACGCATGTGAATTATGTATCACGGAACCTTGGAAGAATAGATTTTTACATAATGATTCTTCATGTGAGTGTATTTAATATGTGATGCAAACATCGTGTCTATTCAAATAATACGTATTGCCAAGGAATTTCCGAGACGATCTGTTTTGAGTAAAGGGGTGTTAAGCCCTGACACCTGTCGATGAATAAATTAAATTCTATAGAAAGCTGAACTTGAATACATTGCAGTTAGTCAAGAATTGCGTCAATATCTAAGAAATAATGGAATATAATAGATTTTGATCAAACATTATCTGTCCTGATATTTGAATATGGCCTATCTTGTATATAAGCACTTAAGAAAACGGCAAATCATAGAAATCATTTTCATCATACATACATCGAGTGGTTCTTGGTTCATATAGGTGTATTAAGCACTGTTTTCCATCGAATTGCAACAAATTCACACATTTTGAGTACCACTTGATATGAAGTTATTCAACTTGAGATACGTTTTATTGTAATTCAAGCATGAATAACAATAAAAAGTCAAGTTAATTAAGTTATTAGCAATCATTATTTATACAAATCACATTCGTAGCTCGTCTTCAATGCATTGCAGCTAATTGAGTTACGCCCAGGCAGTAGCAATATCTTTGCCCAAGTCTCGAGTCTCGAGTCTGTGCTGCGATGCCGTTGACCTCGTTAAGAGTCCGAAAATCACGCATTAGCTGCCAGTTTGCACTTAAAGTAATAAATTTATTCAAATATATGGGCGTAAGACGCACACGTATGCGAATGGGCTGCGCTTTAAAGTACAATTTATATTAACTTCATTTTATGCTGGCTGCCACGCAGTCGTGGCATAACTCATACGCACCGTGTTCAACCGCAGCGGTACTCGGACTCCGGCAGCAGCAGTCACGGCGCGTGTCGGCAGCGCCAGTTTTCCAACAGGCATATCAGTGCCGAAAGAAAAGCAAGCTGGTGGGTCGTCGTTGGGGCTGCTGCTCCACGGTCCAAATGGCAGCCAAGAGAATTTTAAATTACGCTTTTGAGTGGCGAGGCGAGTGCAGTCGATGCCGAAATGCAACGGCAGCTGCAGCTGCAACTGCAACTGCAGTTGGAGTTGCAGTTGCAATGGCTTTTTATCATGCATTTAATTGCAAATGAAGCAGCCGCAGCAGCAGCAGCAGTAACAACAACAACAATAAGTCTCAGCTACATCTACGGCCATTGCGTGCTGCAGCACTCAACTCCAAATCTCAGCTGCCGCCGCTTGTGGCAACTGTAAATGACGTTTAATCAAAGTTGTTGAAATTGATAGCATTGTTTGTGTGCACGTGTGAGTACGTGTTTGTGTGCGTGTGTGTGCGTGCATGTCTGTGCTGCATTTTAAAGTGCGCGAAATGTGTTAATTAAAGCGTTCATGTCCTCTCTCCTGATCTCATTAGAAATAATTATATTGCCATTCGCGAACTGAAATGCCATAAATAAGGAAATAAGCAAACGCTGTAAGTGCAACAGCTCGTGCATTAGAAAAGCTGCAAGCTGCAAAAGGTAAAGCGCTGCTGTCCGTGTCTGTGCCTGTGGCTCTAGCTGTGGCTGTGGCTGCGACGGTGTCTGTGGCAACTTAGTTGTGGCAGGCAATAAAATAAAGTCTTAGCTCCCAGTTCAGAGAGCTTGCCACATTTAATTTGTTGCGCAACAAATTAGCATTCATTTTCATTACGACTTTAACATTGCATTGTTCCGGCGCTTCTTTTTAGCCGCACTTTACTTCATTTTAATTAGGACAACAAAATGTAGAAAATGTTCAAAATGTAAAAACCATTTACATTTTTTATCAAACTGTTGCTCGGAAAATTCTTTAATTCTTATGTACAGAAATAAATTTTAATTTGATTATTTTATTTGATAATATGACATTGTATTAGATAATTCAAATATTACAATATATGTATATAATCATCTTTAAATATTCTTGGATTTATTTATATGTTTTTATACTGGCTTTACACATCTGCCAATCCAAACCATTTTCGCTGCATACTTTTCGGCGTTTATTTAAACAAAATGGGATTGTTTTAAAAAGCTTTTATTTCGCAATTTCAAATTTCATTTATACAATTTGTATAGAAATGAAATACAATAAATTTGTTGCTTATGTTTTTGCTTTGCTCATTTTCAATTATTGCGTGTGTAGAAAGAATCGCTGGCGCGTCGCTGTGGACTACGGTCAGCATTAGCATTTTCATAATGATGTCGTCGCTGTTGATCAAAATCAGCGTCGTCGGCATCATCATCATCAGCGTCATTGGTTTGCCTGTAGCGCGCATTATCCGAGTAAGAGCTCACGCCCGACTGAGCGCCCAACGAAGCTGAAGATGAGTAACGTTTGTTACCAGCTGCATGCGAATACGACTGCGGATGCGGATGCGGATGTGGCTGCGGATGCGGATGCGGTTGCGGATGTAAATGTGAACGCGAATGCACGCTGCCAGAGGACCACGCATAGTCCATGTAATGATGCCGATGTCGCTCCCTTTCTGGATAATAGTGATGCTGATAATAGTCAAAGTCGGAGTCCGAGTACGAATCAGAGTTGGAATTCGAATTGCTGTAGGAGTTGGAGTTGGGGGAGTCGGGCCGCAGCGACTGGTCAATGTATGTGCGATTAGGATAGAAATCAGCGGCGGATGAGGGCGTGCGATGTCCGTTATTATAATCAGCATCATCGTGATATGGTTGTTGCTGTTGCTCATGCTGCTGATGCTGCTGCTGATTCTGGTTCTGATGATAATGTTGTTGTTGATGCGATTGCTGATACGAATGGGTATGCGGAGCTGGCTTATTAGTCACCAAACCACTACTATACGGCGTATGCAGCGTCACAGCTGGCGTAACAATGACTGGTAACACGGCGGAGCTGGATGCCGGCACCAGTGCCGGTTGCTGTTGCTGGTGCTGCCAAGATGACGCCGACTCTGATGCTGTTGTGGATGCTGGCGATGAGGTTTGTTCGCGTGAGTTCATTTCAGCTAATTTATTGAAGCGATTGCGACTGCCGACCGATGTGAGCACCATCACGGTGGGGTTGATATCCGAGATGTGCTCCTTGATGCAGCTCTGCAGCATATTCACGAAAAAGAAGAACGAGAGCAACGTCAGCGCCGACATTACAGAGCTGCCGCTCTTCTTCTTCTTTGTGGGCGGCGTTGTGGGCGGCGATTTGGGCGCATGGTATGGAGGCGGATATGGGGGGTGCGGCGGATGCTGCAGGAGTGGCGGAGGATGCGCGGGCGCACTGCCACCGCTCGGATGGTAAGAGGAGTAGCTGCCAGAGGGGGGCGTTTGTTGCACCTCATACTCCACCGATGGCTCCATGCTGTTAATATAAAGTTGCATTAGCACCACGCGACGCAGAGGGGGATGCGGATTACTTACCCATAGCCCGAGTGGCCGCCGCCTGTGCCGGCATAAGCACCGTTGTGGTTGCTCGCAGCGGCCAGCAATGGTCGTCCATAATGCAGATAGGGATTCTGATAGAGCTGCTGCTGTTGGTGGTGCTGGTGGTGCCAGGGGTAATGGGCGCGCTGTGTATCACTGCAAGAATTCAAATCACTGCCTGAGTTTGGGTAAGTGCAACAAATTGCGAGTCAACATAAACAAACAGCACACAAACAGCACTCAGCACACACACACATACACACACACACACACACACACACACACACACACACACGCGAACATGCCGGCCAGGTAAGGCGAATATCATTTGCTTTTGTTGTGTCACAGCGAGCGCCGCATAAATTTCGTGCTGTCATTTTGCTTACGCATAATTATTTCCGGAAATGGCTGACAACAGCGGATGTTGTTGTTGTTGTTGTTGCTGCTGCTGCTGCTCCGCTGCCAGCTGCTGATATTGCATATTCCCAAAGGACATTTGATGTTTGATTTGGCAATTTTATTGCTAATTGATTTCCGTCAGCCGCCACAGACTCCGTCGGCCAGCCCGTCACAAACTGAGCCGCTCCAAAGTCAAAGTCAAATGCCTGAAGCAACCGCAACTGACGGAGCTGCCTAGGCGAGCTGCTGGAGCGTTTTGCTCACTTACTTAATGGCAAAACATTGGCAATGCTTGTCATTGTCAGCTGTTAAAAGCGAGGCCATCACCGGCCCCACCACCAAGCAACCACCTGCAGCACCTACAATCCACACCTGCCTGCAGCACTTGCCGACTGACAATTGCCTGCAAAGTGTTTTGCGGCAAGTGCGGGGCGACCAACTGACACACACCTGAACTGGAGCATTGCATGCGCTGCACATTTTGGCCACAGCCAGACAATTAGTGCACGACAAAAGCAGCCGTCCCTCCCACACACCCACACGCTCACACACCCTCATATATGCACACATCCGCCCACTCTTGGCCCGCTAGCCCTGCCCCAGTCAGTGGCTGTCAGTGTTAATGACGCYGCTGCTGCTGCTGCCGCCGGTTTATTGCATTAAAAGCGCTATGCAACGTTATGCATCAGAAATTGTCATAATTGTGACATGTCTGGGCGTGCGTGCGGCCCATGTTGCGGTTGCCACTGCTAAAGTAGTGGGTGTGGCAAAGCCGACGAAGCTGTTGTGGTTGCACTCTCTATCTATGCATGGCTATGTATGTGTGTGTGTGTGTGTGTTTGCATCTGTGCTTGTCTCTGTGTGTGTGTGCGGCTTTTTCATATGGCTCGAAGATTTATGAAGTCGGCTAATAGTTTTCACTGGCAGCAACGATTTTTGTCTTAGATCAACAGGAAAACATTAGACTGCAATAACAAATATTTAACATTTCCGCAGCAGCCAGCGGCAAGTCGAAGGGCACATAATAAATTGTCAAATTTCTGCATTGCAACTTGCCGCCGCGTTGTGTTGCGTCGTTGCCCTTTGTTACGCTTTGATTTGTCGCCCTCGACCTCGTTGCCGTCTTAGCCCCTTGCCAGGAAATGGAAAAGCAACTGGGGGAAAAAAAACTACAAACAAGCAAAAAATATGAAAATGAAAAAGCAAGTAACAAAAGTAAGAGTGAATTAAATGAAGCAAATAGAAACGACTAGAAGATACCCTCTAATGAACTGAGTGAGCTTTGTTCAACGAGCGGGACTATAGATCTATAAGTTATAGACAGTTATAGACATTATTATGAAGGATTATGAATGGAATATTATATGAATATTTAGGAGTTCTTTATAATTAATATTCACTTACTGTTACTACAACTTATATTAATATATTCATATAGTATTTTACATATTATATATAAGGTATGCAGCAGCCTAAACTAGATGCTTAGAGTTCGTCTTGATTCTCTTGCTGATAAACCTTACAAAGAAATGTCTTTCTTTCCTATATCTAATATAATTATATAACAATATATTTTGCCTCTATACATCACAAATGCAGTTGATAATTATATTAGTTAACCCAACTACAGGATATCTCAAGCTTGATATTAGATAATGTTTAAAGAAAGTCTTGATTATTTTGTTGACAACCAAATGTCTTTCATTATATATCAAATATTGTTCTATATCCATATATATATTCTCTCTATATTTAATATATAAAAAGTTTATGATACTCACATAAGTTCAGTCAACTCTTTGATACCCTAATCTCACCTACCGAACATTATTAAAGGGTATTCGAAGAGAGGAAAAAGAACTATTGCTACAGTTTTGCTCGAAGTGCTCGAACAAAAAATAGAAGCAAAAAGTGCAAAGCAAATCAAAAACTCAAATGCCGCGAGGGGTGGAAATAGAGAAGGGAAGCTAGTTTTGTACTAGCTTAAAGCAAGTCGACGGCGTGAATGCTGCGAGCGGGGGTGTGGCCCGGGCTGAAGACTCTTTATTTTTTTGCAGCAATTGTGCGACAGTAGCTTTGTTGCTGGCGCCATTGTCAACATATTTCAAGCCGCCAGAGACTCAATAATAATAAGCTGTGAGTCCTGGCTACATATTGTAGTTTTTGGCCAAATGCATAGCACATTTTTATAAGCTCTTATGGCGCCCCCAAATTGGTCAGCGGCCCGACCAAAATTTAATGACTGGAAAATGAGCCATTTAAGCTGAGTGGGTGCCAGGGCCAATGCCAACTCTTGTGGCCCAAGCCCCGAAGACGAACGTGCCCAGCGAGCAATTCGATATTTATGGCTGTCTGTGCCCAGTCTCTGGCCAACGTCTCTGATTGTATCTGTCTGTAGCAGCATCTGTATCTGTGTTTGTGTCTGTGTCTGTGTCTGTGTCCGTGTATCGTTGTCTGTGCCCCGCCCCTGCACTGAGTGCTGTGATTAACACGTAGACATTTTAAATTATATAACATGCCTCGGCCTAGCTGGCCGTTGGCCGCATCAATTAACGCATATGAACGGCGCAAAATATTGCAGCACGCGTTTAGTTGGTAACACATGTGTGCATGTAAGTGTGTGTATGTGTGTGTGTGTGTGTGGGTGTGTGGGTGTGCGTGGTACATAAATCTTTTGGGTACATTAAGCACAAAGTTTTCGGGCAGCATTGAAACAAAAATAAAAACTCGTTAACACAGCACGCCGTTGGTAGAGGGGGGGTGGACGGACAGAGTCTTGGGTCGTGCCACTGCCTTGGACTCAACTTGGCTACGTGCTTGGACTAACTGGACTAGCGCGACTCCTCGCTGGCCTGGCTGTCTGCTGGCCCAGCGGGCCGAACCGAGTGTCAAGTGTAAAGAAGAACTACTAATCAGCAGTTAATTCTTATCTTTAATTAAGTGCACGTTCCCACCACGCCCGGCAAAGGCGACAGAGTAGCTGGCCAAAGCACTAGCATCATCAGCAGCAGCATCATCATCAGTAGCATCATCAGCAGTAGCAGCAGCAGCTGCGCGTTTATGGCAGACGTCTAGGAGTCTCGGCCAAGTTGGCTTCAACACTTTTGTTTGCCTTTGCTTTTGGCATTGTTCCGGCACAAAGGCCAAGCGCCGACGGTTTCTGAACGGCTCAGCGGCTGAACGGCTGCTCGACCCGCCTTTTGTCGCCCGCTCAATTTAATGAAATAATCTAAGCAAACACTCTCGAAAATTAAGCAGTTTTTTTTTTTTTTTTTTTTTTTTTTTTTTTTTTTCTCAGTTCCTTGAAATTAAAAATGTAATGCGTTTCATTTCTTTTCGTTTTTGTTTTGTTTCTTGCACATAATTAAATGCGAATTTTCGGTAGCGAAGCTGGCCAATTAAAAAGGCCACGCAACAATGGCCAAGGCGACCAGCCATGCATGGCTAAGCGGCTGCTCGGCGACTTGGCCAAAGGGTTCATAATGAGGCGCATCTGTTATGCTCTCTATGCGGCCATAAGATGCTCGGCCAGCTCAGCCGAAAATTCAGCGCTTAACACTTGAGTGTGCAGTCAACTCGGCCCAGCCCCATCTTAACCCACCTGCCAAACAGGTAGAAGTCATTACCCCCATTTGAACGCCCTCGGGCTAGCAGTAGGGAGAGTAGAATAGGAGCTGCTTCTGCTTCTGCTACTGCTGCTGCTTCTGCTGTGGCTGCTGCGTCAAGTTGCTTCACAAACAATACCCTGTCAACTACTGCAGGCATGGGGCGTGGCACTCAAGCGTGCCTGTCACATTTTTGCACTTTTATATGGTCCCCCACGGCGGCCGCTGGCAAAGCCCAAAAGTTACATCAGATACATGAAAACATCATTCAAAAGCCCCACTAAAAATAAAATAAAGAACATTTTATTGAAGTGCCAAGGTGGCTGCTGGCTCTGCTGGCTGGCAGCACGCTCCCTAGAATCTGGGGGCGGGCGGGCATTCAAAACTGACGGCGTTCGCATCCCGGCCACACAGATTAATTATGCATCGCAAAATGCTAAGCCAGGTAACACCACCACTCAGCACCACCAGCTCCACAGTGACTAAAAAAAAAAAAAAAGAAAAGACAAACGCACACACAAACACACACGAATGCGGATGGTTGTGCATGTAAAAGCCAAGTACAAACCACACAAAAATAGAAGAAGAAAGTAAAATATAAAATAAAATAAAATAGA